GGCCTGGACGTGACGACAATGTGAAGGAAGACTCAAGAGAGACGTACCATGACTTCAGAAGAGGCCGACCTGAGGGCCAGGAACGTGCAGGAGCTCCAGCTGTTGCAAAGCGCTGGCGGGGTGCAGGGCTTGGAGATGGGAGCCGAAGAAGGCGCGTGTGTGTGGCGGCAGTCGACCGTGCTGACGGATTTTGGGGGGAGTCGCAGCGGGAGCAACGGCAGCAGCCTCAGCGAGGGGCTATAACGAGGTGGCCACTGAATGCGCTGTGCCAGTGGTTGGAGACACAGACAGATCCAGAAGGGTTTTTGTTATTGGAACGGCAAGGAGAATGAAGAGGTCAGAAGAATTGGAATTACGAGGAAAAGAGCACAGCGCCGCAGTGTCTTATTGGCCAGGTCTTAGTAAAAAAAAAAAGTTGCACAGCGAAGCGGGTAGCTGTGGCGGGATGGACAAGAGGCGGACAAGGGATTGGAATTGAGCTTGAGAGTTGCAAACAGCAGCATTAAGCTGGCGATGGGACTTCTTGACAACTAAGAGAGAGAATTCAATCTGGGTCAGTGACTTCGTGCCTTTTATTTTCGTTCCTGTGTATTAGGATATAGGTAACTTCTCCTTCTTGTTATGGAGCACAACGACCTCTTTCTGGCAACTCACGCGGTAACCAGGTTCTTTCTGTGGAGCGGCGGCGAAATCACACTACAAGTACGTACAGGTGCACAGAGCTGCAAAGGCTGAACAAGTTTCGGTGAATTGGACATTAACAACAGCCTTTTTATGAGAAGAGTCAGTGGCGGTGCTTCCATGCTTTGTGGCCGCGGCTCCATTCTTTTGTATGTGGAGGGGCTCCAGTAGCCGAAAGAGGCTGCAGCAGTGAGTGGAGGAGGGGGAACAAGTTGACTGAAGATTGAAGCTTGGGCTTGTCCAGTAGGTGTAAGAGAAAGTCGATTCAGTTCAGGTGGCAATTAGATAAGGAGTTTCAAGGCAAAAGGGCAGATCAAAGTTCCAGCATATACAATTGGAAGGACTTGCTGTTGAGTTGAACCTTTTGATTCGTTGTAGCTTTGAACCTATTCATGATGAGCTGCCGTAGTTTGAGCTTTGCAAGCTGGTATGGCCATTTAAGCTTGTTGGCGATAACGCTCGATAATGCTGCTGCGCCGCAACTTGCAGCAGCCCTGGGCAGAGACCTACGCATGTCCCGCTGGCCAACACTACCCTACCTGTGCCAGCTCTATAATTCACACAGGTAGAAGTTGAGGATTGCACAGGTACTTTAGGGCAGCGTTGGCCTGTCCCGCCAGCCCAACTCCGCGGCATCGACCCGCAAGAGCCGAGTACAGCTCTGCTAGCAATTCCGAGCTACCCCACTGCCCACCTCACCTGGTGCTTAATGTACCTTGGTATTGGCAGACATGTTGCTTGTCTCAGCATACCTAATACAAACACACTACATGGCAGTGTGCAAGTAATGGAAACAACAGAGAGCCTGATACATTAATAACGACAAGCTAGCGCCATGAGTGAGTCAATGCGGCTTGGCAGCATTACGGAGGCGCTTCTCTCGACCAAACAGAGGCTACAACACGATGCTGGAAGCCTGAATCACGCCTCATGCTGCGTATAAGCGACGGTTACGGCACGGCACGAGTGTTCATGTGCTCATGTGCTCTTTGCGAGCGTGGCATTGCAGCAGCGCTGGCGTTGATGAATTAATTAATTTGCTTTGGGCTTGCTCCAGAATCCTTCGTTTCATATTGAGCGGTGCGTGCTGCTCTTTTCTGCCTCTCCTTGCATACTTTAGGTATACATGGGCGGTTTGCCACAACTTGTTCTGCCTTGCATGTGGCCTTTTTGCGTGTCTACAGACGCCCTTGTAGACGCCCGTGGCGTAGTGCTGCAGGTACAGCAAAGCCAACTTGGAGCTCTCTCCAGCGGCTTCTACAACGCTAGCAGCAAGCAGGTTCTGGGCCATATAAACGCCCAAACTTCCCCCGTCTACTCCTCTCCTCCAAGCTCCAATCACCACCAGCCCTCTTGAAATATCCGTACAATAGCATCCTGAGAATCCTTCATTTAATCCAAATCCGAACATATTGCTAAAACCGCCTGCGATTCTTCATCTGCCCAGCCTTCTGCCTACGCCCACTCGGAGCCGATACCGCAGTCTGTGGGGCCTACACGACCAGGATTTGGGCTGACCAAACATCAAGCATCTGATCTACCGGCACATGCTTCGGAGAACAGGCTTCCAAAGGGCGTTTTGACTTGAGACCGCAGAAAAAAAAAAAAAAGAGAAGCCATCTCCGTTGTCTAAGATTCTCTTCATATTCACCGCCATACTCTTGTTTGCGTCTTCGCTTCAGTCGCGCTCCTCATCGCCTCTCGCCGCCGCAATCGCTCGCCGCCCCAGCATCGTCACCGGCGTCATCACCTCCACTCAAGGATTTCCCTCTGGTGCTTGTATGGAACCGCGGGCATGTTCTCCGTAGCACTGCGCTGCCACAGCAAACGATGTCGACCCCCAAACTTCTCGGCCCTGGCGGCATCTTGCAGCTCAAATAATGCAGTTCCACGAACGACCTTTACACATCCAGCTTTGCCTGTCAAGATACAGTCGAGAAATGCGGCCCAAGCGAATGGCACGTGGCGCCCGGTTTCTGTATTGGACGAGTAAGCTCTGCCATGACTCCCCATCTCCAAATCTCTGCACTTCTATGGCGAACATGATTTCGCGCTACACACATCTTTCATCCAAGCTCTGCCATGTGCGCTAACCAAAGCTACTGCTGCTGTGTTATAGATGGGTTGCAAAGGAGGCGCGCCCAATCAGCTTGCGCCAGCTGATGGTCTTTGGACGCTCGCTGACCGAGTCGCGATTGATAAGCTCTGCCAACTACGTGCGCACCGAGCTTCCAGTCAGGTATGTAGCTGCCATGAGTCTGCTAGCTATGAAGAGATGCTGACCGTGGCGACATGCTGCCTACAGAATAGCGCATCGCATCCGCGACATGCAGAAGCTCCCCTACGTCGTCGTAACGAACCGACACATCGAAGAGGTCTACAAGCTCTACTACAATGCCTTTGACACATTCCGCAAGTTCAAAGAGATCAAAACTCTGGAAGACAATGACAAATTCTGCGCCGTCATCACCCAGAACCTCAAGGGCCACTTGACCGTCATCCCCAAGCTCGCAATGGGCATCCTCGAGTGCGGCGGCCTTATGGACCCAAAAGAGCTGGACCACTTTATGAATGTCATACTCCGATCGGTAAGCTAGAATGATGCTATTTCACTCTTTTTATCTACTCTTATGATCATCGAAGCTCACCTTCTCCCCTATTAGCGTATCTCTAGACGAGTCATCGCGGAGCAGCACCTCTCCCTCACGGAAACTTTCCACTCCGCCTACTTCTCTCCCGGCGCCAAGCTCTCCGAATCCGACTTTATTGGCGAAGTCTTCATCAAATGCTTCGCCAAAGATGTCATAAGTCGCTGCGCCAAAGCCGTCACCCAGCTCGCCCGCACCACAAACGGACCTGACGTCCAAGTCCCCGAGATCAAAATCGACGGCCACCTCAACGCGAGCTTCCCTTACATCCTCAGCCATCTCGAGTACATCGTCGGCGAGCTCCTGCGCAACTCCGTCCAGGCCGTCATCGAGCACCACCAGAAACAGTCCGACCACGCCTCTTCTCCTCCCCCTCCCGTCGAAGTCACAATATGCGAAGCCCAGGAGCACGTCATCATCCGCATATCCGACCGCGGCGGCGGCATCCCGCGCGAGGAGCTCCCTTACCTCTGGTCCTTCAGCAAGGGCCCCCAAAGCCAGAAGCGCCTCAAGAACCTCGGCCAGGTGCCCCGAATGGCCGCCACTATGCAGGAGCTGCACGTCACCGACGAGCTTGGCCGAGCAGACCTCAAAGCGCCCACGTACCTAGGCTCCCTATCAAGCCTCACCAGTCGGCCCCCTAATTTGCGTCTTGGTATGGGCCTACCCCTGAGCCGCGTTTATGCAGAGTACTGGGCTGGCTCTTTGAACCTACACAGCTTGGAAGGGTACGGCGTCGACGCCTTCTTGCAGATTTCGAGGCTTGGAAATAAAAACGAGCAACTCACCACCAGAGCTAGCATGGACGCTGTTTAGGCGTTTTCTCTTTTTCTTCTTCTCCTTCTCCTTCTTCTTCTTATTCTTTTTATGTTCTTTTGATTTGCCTTGCTTCTTGCCTCGGGCAGTTTGGATATTCGGGGAGAAGGATTTCAAGCAGGCGGGCGATATGGATAATGAAAGTTTCTTTGTGTTTTGGTCTTGATTTCTTCGTTGACCTTTCCTCTATTAGGTATTATAGTAGCTACCGATTCATTCTATCGGAGTTGGCAAGGAGTTTCGGCTGGGTCTTACATACGCCGTTTGTTGTTCGTTGCCGGATCCATCAGTTGGGATGGAAAATGTCCGACAACCACCTTAAGGAGTACCTATACCTTGTTGTTTCTTTTGTATTCAACGCGCATAATAGTGGCTGCCATATTAAACTGGTATCTCAACTGACTCAATTACATAAGACTAGAAAATGTGCCTAACTGTCTGAAATAGGAGGTGCTCAAATAAAAGAGGAATAAAATAGGGCTACATTATCAAAACTTCTGGCACTCTTCCCCCTTGTCGCTGATTTTGGGCAACAAACCATTAAATGTTGCTCTGTTCCACCGTCAAAGTCACAGGGAGTAATCGCCGTGACAGTTTTAGCACCAGTACCGAAGGGGGACAATAAATAAAAAAATCCTTCAACCTCAACAACTCATCAAAAAATAGTCGCCTCGCCTCTTCCCGTGGCAATAGCCGCTCAGAATATGCATGAAATAAGCGCCACCGCAGTGGCATTCAATAGCCGGCGCCTTCACCCTTTTAAATCTAAAGCAAGAGAGAGGCAGACCGATGGAACCCCGAGATCATGATACTCCAACGCCAGCATGGTGTGGTTGAAAGCCGGCATTAGATGATTTATCGGCGACCGTGGCTTCGGACGGCATTTCCCTGCATAGCCTCAAGCTCGTTCTCCAGCTGCTTGATTGTGGCGTGGGTCTGCTCGAGATCCTTATTGAGACGATCACGCTCAGCAATGAGCTTCTGTTCCCATTGTCGGAAGCGCTGCTCCTCGACCTTGACCTGCTCGGTGAATCGCTTTCGCAGGGCCTCCTCCTCTTCCTTAAACTTGGGGTTGTCGAGCTTCCGGGGTCGAGCCTCGCCGAATTTGCGAGTCTCCATCTGCTGTGCTCGGTAGGCCTCGTAGTGAAGCTCCTCAGTGGTGTGGATAAGATCGAGCATGTGGGTGCGGATCAGAATGGATCGCAGCTTCTTGAAGTCGCAGTGGTCTTCGTTCTCGACCTCGGCAACACCCCAAGAGTACTGACGACCCTTGACGATGCGGCCATCGCTGGTCTTGACGTCCTTCTCGGAGCCGATGACGGCAAACGGCATAGCGGCCATAAGGCTACGCGCGTGCTGGGCAGCAGCCTCGTCATCCTCCTCGATAGGGGGCTGGTAGATCTTGATGTTCTGGGCCTCGATGACGCTCACAATCTATTAATCGTTAGAAACTTTGCGCGTGGAAAACATGTGGCTTCTCATATTCATACTCTCTGCTTGAACTTGGCCAGGTCAGCTGGGCTGAGAGTATCAGCCTTGGCAATCACGGGAATCAGGTTGACTCGTGAGCAGAGGCGCTTCATAACTTCGATATCCAAGGGCTTCAGGGTGTGGCCGGTAGGGCGGATGAAGTACAGGCAGGCATGGACACGGAGATCAATCTTGTCCTGGCGGCGGGGCTGCTGCTCCTGAAGCATGTAAGACTCGTGCTGGTCGTCGAGGAACTCGATAATGGGTTGCCAAGAATCGCGGTTGTTGACATAGTCACCGAAGCCGGGGGTGTCAATGACAGTCAATCGAACTAGAAAGAGTCAAAAATGTAGTTTTTAGCACATCGTCTTGCACCAAACGTAGAGTCTCCTTTAATTAGGCAGCTAGCCCTTACCCTTGAAGAACTTCTCCTCCAGCTCGGCCTTGGTGATCTCAATCTCAACCGTCTTGTCGACCTGCTTCTGGTGTCTGCGCTTGTGATCGGCGTAGTTCTTGATGGTGGTAGAGAAGAGGGTGTTGATGAAGGTGGTCTTGCCCAGGCCAGACTCGCCAGCAACCTAACGATTCAAGTCGGCGTGTTAGTTACTCAGAAACAGACAGAGCTAGAAACATCGTGCTGTAGTCACGCCGTATACGCGTTTGTCAACGGCAAAATAGAGGGACAATCGCGTACCATGATGGTGAAGCCAGCACCGCGCTTGGCGACAATCTTGTGTCGCTGGTTGGGCAGATTGGCAATGCCAATCGGTGAGGCGCTCTCAGCAGCTGCGGGAGCCATCTTGCAATGTGGAGGGGCTACGGATTGGGTGTCTTGGGCGAGAATGGAGGGGAGAAACCAGCGAGAGGGCGGAGGCAGACGATGACAGCTGCAGCAATGGGAGCAAAAACGGAGACAGGAGGAAGATATTCACAAGTGGCCGTTGGCGCTGCTCAGGCAAAACAGAGTGGAGGTTCCAACTTGCTGAGCTTGAACTTTCAGGGGATAGAAGGGGTTGAGGCGGTCGTATCCCCCAATTTTCCACACCTTAGAATTGGCCAGGGGCTGGGCGCTGCTGATTGGGCGAGTGGCAGCTCTTGGCTGATTGGGCTTAGCGGGCTGGTGCGGCCGACTGGGGGGACACAGAAAGCAAGAGCAGGCGGAGCGAGGCAGGAGCAAAAGGCGGGCGGTCTCCTTTTTTCTGCCATTTGCGTGGAAGTGAAGTGAGCAGTTCGTGTTAACGGAGCATGGAGCGGGCAGGACAGGGCCGGTGGCTACAAGTATTGGGTACAGTGGGCTGTTGGTGGATCAAGTGCACTGAGCGGCAGCAGCATCGTTGCCGGTTTGGTCACTGGTACCTGCTCTAACAGGACAGATGAGATGAGGTGGTCAATGCGTTTCAAAGCACCGTCGTACCACACAAGTGCCATGGTGGGCTTGAATGCTAAGGAGCGGAATAAAGTATCTGCCGGGCGCCTTAACTCAATCGCTCTGACTTGGCTTGCTAAGAAAAAAAAAATCAATGGGTCTGTATCGATAAGAAAGTCGCAGCTTGATTTTTTGATGCGACTGCGCCGGGCATTGAAAGAGCTTCACATCATAGTATAATTCCACCAGATCATGGCAAGTGGCCGACAATGAAGACCGATTTTAGGGTAAGATTTTGCGATATCACCATGAATTCCGGATTGTTCGGTCCTGAATCTTGCCCGATTGTTGATTATACCGATCCAATTTGCAACTTCCATCTTCTTCAAACGAAATCTGGACCATGTGCTAACCGTGAGGCTTCCTAGTTTTCCAACTTGCTAGGCACTGTCTACTGCCAGGGCAACTTGGTCTTCAGTCCAGATGGCACCCATCTCTTTTCACCCGTCGGAAATCGCGTGACTATCTTCGACTTGGTAAAGTATGTCAAGCCGGCGCATGTACCCAAGCAGTGCCTCCCCTAGTAACATTGAACTGTATGACTGACTTGATACAACAGCAACAAATCCCACACTCTGCCCTTTGCCCATCGCAAGAACATTGCTCGAATCGGCCTCTCACCCCGCGGCAATCTCCTTCTCACCGTTGACGATGAGGGTCATGCGATCTTGACCAACGTTCCCCGTCGTGTATCCATCTATCACTTCTCCTTCCGGTCGCAGGTCACAGCGCTCTCATTTTCGCCTTCAGGGCGATACTTTGTCGTGGGCTTGGGGCGAAAACTCGAAGTCTGGCACGTTCCTTCGACCCCGGATACAAATGCCGAGGGAGAGCTTGAATTCGCCCCCTTCGTAAAGCGCCGCACCTACACCGGCCACTTCGACTCAGTACAGCATATCGAGTGGTCCAGCGACTCCCGGTTCTTCCTGACAGCCTCTAAGGATTTGACGGCAAGGATATGGAGTGTTGAGCCTGAAGAGGGTTTCGTTCCCACCATTCTTGGTGGCCATAAGCAAAACGTGATTGGTGCCTGGTTTTCCGCTGACCAGGAGACAATCTATACGGTCAGCAAGGACGGTGCAGTCTTCAACTGGAAATACGTCAAACCGCTCAATTCCGCAAAGCAAGATGACCGTATGGAGGATGATGACGATAGCAACGATGAATCGGACATGAGATGGCGCATTGTTGAGCGACACTACTTTATGCAAGGTAGCGCACATGTGCGATGTGCCTTTTTCCACGCGGAAACCAACCTCTTGGTGGCTGGCATGTCCAACGGGCTTTTCAGCCTTTACGAAATGCCCGACTTCAACAACATTCATAAGCTCAGCATCTCTCAAAGCGACGTCGACTTTGTAACAATCAACCAGAGTGGAGAGTGGCTGGCTTTTGGTGCCTCCAAATTGGGGCAGTTGTTGGTCTGGGAGTGGCAGTCCGAATCCTACATCCTCAAACAGCAGGGCCATTTCGACTCAATAAACTCCCTGGTTTACTCTCCGGATGGACAGCGAATCATCACAACTGCTGATGATGGCAAGATCAAAGTATGGGATATTGAGTCTGGCTTTTGCATCGTCACATTCACGGAGCACACTAGTGCCGTCACGGCATGCGAGTTTGCCAAGAAGGGAAACGTTCTGTTCACATCAAGTCTTGACGGCTCAGTCCGGGCGTGGGATCTGATCAGATATCGAAACTTCCGTACCTTTACGGCCCCAACAAGGTTGTCCTTTACATGCATGTCTGTTGATCCCAGCGGCGAGGTAGTTGCGGCAGGTTCACTGGACTCATTCGATATTCACATCTGGTCTGTACAGACCGGTCAGCTACTTGATCGGTTAGCAGGACACGACGGTCCCGTGTCTGCCTTGGCGTTTACACCAAATGGCAACTCCTTAGTTAGCGGTAGCTGGGACAGGACTGCACGAATATGGTCAATCTTTGACAGAACCCAGACGAGCGAACCGCTGCAGCTTCAGGCTGATATTCTCGACATTGCCGTCCGACCGGACTCCCTTCAGCTGGCCGTTTCAACTATTGATGGCCAGTTGACGTTCTGGTCAATATCAGAGGCCGAGCAGACGGCGGGTCTCGATGGCCGCAGGGACGTGTCTGGCGGACGAAAATCATCAGACCGGAGAACGGCTGCCAATATTGGTGGCAACAAGAGCTTTAGCACAATACGCTACAGCACCGACGGAAGCTGCCTGTTGGCCGGTGGAAACAGCAAATACATCTGCCTGTACTCAGTGTCGACCATGGTGCTACTGAAGAAGTTTACAGTCAGCGTGAATTTGTCTCTATCCGGAACTCAAGAGTTCCTCAACAGCAAGTATCTAACGGAAGCCGGTGCCATTGACGATATCGACATGCAAGGAGAGGCATCCGACCGCGAAGACCGGTTCGATGCAAGCCTACCTGGTTCGAAGCGTGGCGGAGATCCTTCAGCTAGAAAGCGAAAGCCACAAGTTCGCGTCACAGGCGTTGCCTTTTCGCCTGCCGGATCCGCCTTTTGCGCTGCTTCTACAGAGGGTCTCCTTATCTATAGCTTAGATCACACTCTGCAGTTTGATCCATTTGATCTCAACATCGAGATCACGCCTGCTTCAACTTTGGCAGTATTGGAAAACGAAAAGGACTATCTCAAAGCGTTGGTGATGGCATTCCGATTAAACGAAGCTGGTCTCATCAAGAGAGTTTTTCAGGCGGTACCGCCAGCCGACATTCCCCTCGTCGTATCCGATGTCCCCATTGTCTACGTACCAAGACTCCTCCGCTTCGTCGCTGCCCAGACAGAAGAATCTCCCCACATCGAATTTTGCCTGTTGTGGATCAAGGCGCTGGTCGACAAGCACGGCGCCTGGCTCACGGCTAATCGCGGCAAGGTAGATGTCGAGCTGCGAGTGGTCTCGCGTGCAGTGGTGAAGATGAGGGACGAAATCAGGAGATTGGCTGACGAGAACGTGTACATGGTGGATTACCTATTGGGCCAGGCCGATAATAATAAGGTTGAAGAGGAGAAAAATGGCAATGCGACCCTGACCAGTGCACAGCAGAAGACGATTGATGCGGTCATGAATGGCGCGGCGGAGTCCGGCGAGTCTGACGAGGATGGAGAAGATGAGTGGATGGGAATGGATTAAACTCCTGAATTTTTTTGAAATAGGAAGCATAACTGGGTCATTTACAAAACTAGACTACATAAAAATACAAAAGATATCCTAAAGTCGCGCGCCAGTATGATTGGCCCTGGGGTTCACATTGTTTTCATGATCAGTATCCTTATGCTCTTCATTCCTTTGTTTAGTTTCAAATTGTTACAAAGGGAACTTATCTCACCCTTACCTTTCCTTGGGAACATTTTCCCATGCCTCTTCAAACCCAGCAGATCTCACCCACAACGCAGGCTCTTGCGGGCCTTCCGTGCTCTGCAACAGAATCTGATGAACCTTCAACCACGTCTCATCATCAGCAATGCGAATCCACGGCCTACCAGCATACTTTTGAGACAGCTCCTGGGCAACTAGCAGCGCGCGGACGACCTTGATGGTGTGCCCGTCATCGATAATCTCGTGGAAACGTGGGAGCAGGTCAGCCGGCTTTGTGGCGGAACTGGTAGTCTGTTGTTTTGGAGAGAAAGACTTGATGGCGTCGAGACGGAGCGGTGGACATCCTCGAGCAATGTATTGGATTATATCGAGGCGGATTTTCCATTCGAGGATGCGGGCTTTTTGAGAGGGCCGGAGCCAGGGGAAGGACAGGAGGGTGACGAAGAAAGGGGTCGAGTTGAGGTGGTGACTGAATGGAAGAAGTTTCTGTGAGCAAAAGAAGAGAGACGTGGTAAAAAAGTAAAAACTTACATCAGAAAGAAGTCAAACTTGGGATTATTCGGCGGATGAAACGCGGCCGCCGCAGCAACATACGCGCACGAATGCACCATCTCAGCCAGCCTCTCATCCAGCTCATCCTCATGTACCTTCACCTGCTTCACAAACTCCAGCGCCTCATCCGGCGCACGAACAAAGATGCCGTCGTAAATCTTGTTCTTGTCGTCAAACCGCGCGCTCGTGGCGAGCTTCTCGCTGAACTGCTGGACAGACTCAAAGAGCTCCGGCAAGGGGGGCGTATCGTGTGAGGAGGCAGTGGCGGCTTGTTCGGCTTTGACGAGGAACCCGCCTGCGCGGTTCTCGTGGACGGCGGCTTGGGCGAGGCCTTCGGCGATGATGGCGGGTTGCTGCCATTCGATGCCGTACATGAGTTGGATGAGGGGGTGGAGGAAGCCTGAAGAATCGCCATTACCCATTCAGCCCGTTTACATTCATTCATTGAGATATCCATTCTCCAAAATGGTATAGATGGATTGATAAGATACGCACCAGCAAAAAGACGTCCAAAGATGGTCTCGCTCCTCTCATCTTCCTTAAAGACATACTCCAAAAGGACCTTTTCCCACCCCTTTGCTTCAATTTCATCTTGGAAGAACTTGAGAAAATCGGGGTAGTGTTTCCCCTTTCCGAGATAAGGAGAGTCTTCCGTCCAGCCTTTCTTGAGCTCCTCGACGACGCCGGGGTGAGTGTCCATGGCCTTGATTTGGTAAGAGTGGTTTTCGGCATATGCCTCTTCAAGCGTGCTGGGAGATGCACCGGTGGCGTAGAGGGTGAGGAGGAAATGGACGATCTGGTTGTATGCTATTAGCTTTCTTTACATTCGCAGCGGTTGACTGAGCTTTCATCGCAAGATGTGTCTTTAATCTCAATAGTGACAAAGGCGAGGAGACTGAATGAAAAGCAGTAACATAAGCGTACATGATTATGGAAGCCCTCTGCATTGAAAAAGACGTGGTGGCTCTGTATTTCTAATTAGCTGCCATTCTCTGTTTCAATCAATTTTTCTAAGTAAATACCTCGAGATCCTTTTGCAGCAGCTCAGAGACCTTTGCAGCAGCCTCATCCGTCTGCTTCCACTTCAACACCCCCGTATCGCTAGCGGGAACGCGAATCTGCCACGGCGTCGCCATTGTCGAAGCAGCTCGATTTCGAATTGAAAAGAAGGGCAGAATCTTTTGATAGCGTCGAAATAAACGTGTCGAATTGTATCCAAGCACATGCAAGAAACCAGCTCGTTGTCGCGTGTTCGATAACAGTGCGGATGAGACAGATGCCATTTGCATCGTCAGACGGGGCGGGCACAATTTATGCGATATCACTGCATTAGACGCCACGTGCCTCTTTGTCGTTGCATCACCAATTAACCAATCCAAAGTGTTCAATGTTGCAACCCAAAACCAGCAAGAGGTTGCATCTCCAAGAAGCTGACAAATTTCGCTGCAAAAGGCTGACTGATGGCCGCTGTTTGCATGTGGGATGCGTCTCGGACTTCCGGTGATGGCCGTTTAAGTTGGCGATCTCACATGGTTTCGAATTGTTGGGCTGCGGATTGGCTGCGGTGCTGTGAAAAAATGGGGTTAAACGTTCGGCTCGGCATTTATTTAGAGTAAATGGGAAGTGCGAATTGCGAGACGGCAAAGCGTTAACGGCTAGAATGATGGCATGTAGGGGAATTGGTTTGGGAATTTGGGGTATGAAAATGTCACATTTACATCATAAGCTACTAGGCACATCTTGGAGCTCAAGTTGGATCCGACGCCAAACGCCAGTAGCCGTAAGAGCTAACAACTAACAGCAATCAAGATGGGCACATGTAGATGGGAAGAGAATCAGAGCATATTGCCAGAGATGAAAACTCTGTAGCAAGTCTTGTAGTATTTTGTCAATCTCATTCTAAGATCAGAGTAAAAGTTGAGAGCACCATGCTCGCGTCCCAGTCCTATCAGTCCACCCATTTTTTTAAATCCTTCCAAAAATCGTCATCATGAAGATGTGTTTTTAAATCCCGGTTCCCAACAGCTGTATATAGTCTTGTTGATAAAGAGCAGGGGGTTGGTATGTTATGTTGTATAAAAGAAAAAGCCTTTGAGGGAATATTTTTTTTTTAAAAAGAAAAAAGAAAAGTCGTTAAATCATCAGTGAGAACCTTTAAGCCTTGCGCTTCTTGGAGGGCTGGGCGTCTTCCTCGCCATCATCCATCTCCTCGTCAGACTCAAAGTCGATGTCGCTCATGGCATCTTGCTCTTGGGCAGCCACTGTTGAGTTTTGTCTTAGCGCTTGGAACTCATTCATCGTCTGATTCTTCCGAAGAATTCTCAGAGGCGTGAATGTACTCACAGAAGTACTTGATGGCACCGGGCCAGAGATCCTCAGCGATGCAGACGGCAAGGTCGTCGGCGGTGGGGAAAATCTCCATCTCGTACTCGTCGTCATCATCATCCTCATCCTCATCATCCTCGTCGGGAATCTCCTTGCCCGCCTTGCGGAGCTTGCGCTTCTCCTCCTCCTCCTTCAGGGCAGCCTGGTTCTCCTCCTCGGTGATGCTGAGGCCACGGAAACCGAACCAGGCAAAGAAGCTGACGCCGTCGAGGCCAGTGCTCTCCATCTGGGACTTGAGCTTCTTCTTGGCCTCGGTGTCATCGCCCTTGCCGGCCTTGTCGTCCTCCCAGACCTGGTAAACGAGGTCCAGCATGCCGCTGGTCAGGTCCTTGTCGGCCTTCCAGTTGATCTTGACAGGCTCACTGACGAGGCCCGCCCAGCCATCCTTGTTGCGGCGCCACCAGAACTTCTTCTCGAGAACCTTGTTCTCAAAGTACTCGTTCTCGCTGAACTCGAACTTGATGGCAATGCTGCGGGGGTCGCCGTTGGGAAGCTCGAATCGCTCCACAGACAGGTCGACGAGGGAGCTCAGCAGGACGGCAGAGTCAGTCGGCTGGACGTACTCGTCGATATCCGGGGGAGCCTGCTCGAAGACGAGAGGCCAGAAGTTGGGGATCTCAGCAACGACCTTGGCGCGCTTGGCGTACAGGTCCTTGGTGAGCTTAGCCTGCTGGCGGACTGTAGGCTTGTTAGCACTCCATAGCTTTGAAGATCTCAAAGAGCAAGAACAAGGAAAATCCCTCCTCTTTCTAGCTCTAGTGCTCATATAGACTAGCTTGCACGACAAGAGAGATTCGAGCAAAGAGAGCCAAGGTGGACTGATGACGCTGCTCATTTGCGGATCGCGCGATTCCAGCAGGAAAAGACAGAATGAAGCATGCGCAACAGCTCACCACCAGAATAAACAAAGAGGAGAGGGCTGGCCTGGATTGAGCAGTAGCAGAGGTAAAACTTACGGAGCTCGAGCTCAACCTGCTCGAAATCATCCTCGAGATCCTCGAGCTGCTCGTAGGAGATGGGGTTGTCAATGTTTTCAGCAGACATTTTGGCGGCTGTGTGTTGCGACTGAATAAAATGAGAGAGAGAAAAGAATGCTTGATGCAGGAGGGAGATTTGTTGAGGGGGGGGAGCTCGCTGCCTCTTTATAAGGTGGAACTAGCTAGCTACAGGTACCCAGATGACGTTAACTGGGTTAAGGCGAGAAAATTTTCTCTCGTCGACGGAGGCACAGAATATGTGGAGGGCCGTAAACAAACAAACAAATCAATGCAGGCAGAGCTTGTGTATGTAAGAGAAAAAAATCGACGTCGACTCAGTTCACAGGAGCTTGCAGAATGGAAATTTTGCGTAGCGGTACCTTGCCTAGCACTTGTCAACTGGCGCGCTGGATCCCTGTATTGCAGGCGTGCTTGGGCCGGAAATGGCAAAAGCGGGAGCCACTAAACCCGCTGTAGCTTGGCGGAGGGTCTACTAAGTCAAAGCTCTTGCAGCGCAAGGGTCCGCTGCAGGCGTTCGAAGAAAAAAAAATAAGATGGAGAACCTGGAGCCTGAAGAGTAAAAAAAAAGTTTTGGGGCGATCTGGTACTTGAAGAGAACATACAATTTGTATGGCAGAGGCAGGTCACCGAAAGTTTTTAGGCATCACGCTCCACTTCGGATGTGCATAAAATTGAAAGAGGAGAAGCAAAAAGAATCAAGAGCTAGAATGAGGCTAGGTTGCTCCAGACACGGCGAGCAAAACGCCACCCGAAGGCCGCTTTCCATGCTTTGATGTTGATGCGTGTGATTCGCTGCGGAGAGGAGCCAATAGATTCGATGTCTGTAAGGTCCAGTAAGCACAGACACCGCCTTTGTAGAAGAGACAAAGATATGATTCCCAAAAGCCATTGGTGGGATGAAACCGCATGCATAACATTGCCGAGGGGCAGACAAGATAGAGCTGTTGGAGCATTGTTAGACGCCACATATCTCATAGATGGAGCATATCTGGGTGTGCTCCATGATATGAGATGATCACTTTCATATTACTTTTCTCTCAGCACCAGATCCAACCACGCCTCTCATTGCCTTTTGGTTCTACAGATTTCCATCAAAAGAGCCGGCAAAAAAAAATCCTTATCGGATAAGGCTTGCCCCTCCCCCGCCTCAGCTTCGCAACCCCAACCCACCTTTCTTGGCTCTCTCTCCATAGTAATAGCTTATTAGCAGCAAAACCAATGTTGAACATTGCTGCCTTTGCCATTCTCGCTCAACAATAGTCTACGATAATTTTTTCAATTGACCGTTCATTGTATCCCAGGCGAGATGATGTCATTGTTCTAATTTGTTTCACCTTCTCCTCTCTTGGAAGCAAGAAGTGGCCTCAGGCTCTTCCACTTTCAATTCCTCAAACCGCCATATGAATTACCCACTTCTACCATCTCCTCCAGCTTGATCTTGACATACCACAATTGGAACTCTCATCTCCATACTGAAATTCTTACGCCATCGATTCACAAGATGCCTACGCCAATTGACCTTGGACAGCCCACCAGACTCAACTGCGAAGTTGCAGTCTTCAGCGGTGCTTCTGGTCTCGAAGCTCAAGATTTGGGCGCCAAACGCATCGAGCTGAATGCCCCAGGCTCGTACGAAGCAGGTGGCCTGACACCTCCCGTCAAGGAGCTGACTTCAATTGCCTCGCAGCTCGAAATTGCCGTGCGTATCATGATCCGTCCTCGCGGTCCTCCTCGCGCCGTCGTCTCGCCTGGTGGAGAAGAAGGTCAGCAAAGGCCAGTTCAGCAAGAAGACCATCAACTCCAAGACTTCATTTATACCGATGATGAAATCGCTCTCATGCTACAGGCAATCGCTGACTTCAAAGCCACTGGGGTCATGAATCCCATTCGTGGAGACGGTTTCGTCTTTGGGGTGCTCAAGCGCCAGACTAAGCCCTCGACTCTTGCCAAATATCCAGATCTCAAGTATACCATCGATGAAGAGCGCTGCAAGATACTCGTCGACGCTGCCCGCCCTTATCCCTGCGTCTTCCACCGCGCCTTCGACCCAATTGCTGCAAGCGAACGCTGGGCCAAGGGCGTCGATGCTCTAGTTCAATGCGGCTTCGATGGTGTTCTTACTTCTGGAGGGATGGGCAACTGTTCCCAATATCTTCACAAAATTGACGCAATCTGCCATCGCGCCATTCCCCATAGCCTCCAAGTCATTGCGGGAGGCGGTGTCCGCCGGGGCAACGTGGGAGAGACGGTCGCGCAGCTTTCAGTCCACGGCACTAAGAATGTGTGGATTCACACTGCCTCGCTGACCGACAAGGTCGACAACGATGGCCGCAGGCTCGAGGACCTTGACGGGCGCCAGCTCAAGGGAATTGTGTCCGCGATCAACAACACCAAGCCAAGCTAGAAGTCCCCGGCCGACCATTGGCGCGAACACTATGCCCACCTCTATCAGTAAGCCGCGAGCAGTCACCATTTTGCGCAGAATCTCAACTCAATCCTCTTTGTCAATTTCAGCATGATCTACGACATTTGTTTTTTTCGCTATTATATCTATTCTTTCGTATGCTTAACTTGGCTTACTATTTCTTTACCATTCTCCCCCTCTCTTCTCGTCTTTATACTAGAGGATGATATAACGACCTGACTATGTTTCTTTCCTCTTCGATTTCAACAGCAAGATTACAGGCGATTCCATTGATACCCGCATACCAACAGATTTTCCAGAAATAGAATCGATAGCTTCATGGCAACTATTAAAGAACGGGGGAAGATTTTCAAATTTGTCTAGGCCAGATAAATTTCTGATTTCATATTTTAAAGAATAGAAAAAAGGCCTAAATGTCATCAAATATATAAAGACTTTCTTTCTCAAGTTTTATTATTTACAACGTGCTGTCATTGGAACCTACTTACCCGGGTATGGAATTACGGCAGAGCCGATTATAGTTGCCTGGTGCCAACACAGCAACTCAGCCATATCCTACTAGTAGATTTGAGTCAACGAACAAGTACACATGAGATGATTGACATCCGTGTATATACCACACCTAACAAGAATGAAGCATTTAAAGCATTGGTGGGAAGGATGGAGAAAGCCAAAGATGCAGAAAAGTATGCCGTGTTATACAACCTTGGCGGATGCACTCGGTGTTGTCCACGTCGCGTATGAGGACAGAATGACAACTATAAGGGCAGAGGCCTGGTTTAGCATCACCCGTAGCACAAGTGGACTCTATTCTATTGTTTCTGGTGTTTTTTAGCTACCTGTATGGTCGAGTAATAGCTATTCACGTTAGTTTGAAGAGAATATTATTGCGTAGACGCTTAGATTATGAGAATGACTACACGGCTAGCCGAGATATCGACATACGAGTTGGCACATATTCAACTCTGGCCATGTTTAAAGTAAATTCTCATTGACTTATATATCATCTGACGTCAAAATTGAGTAATTGGCAAAATTCTAAGATCAAACTACCACTCAGCCACATGAAGTAGATCGGATCTGCCAAAGTTAATCACGGTCTCCACCTCGTGAGGTTGTACTAGTATATCTTTGGAGGTGAACCATACAAATGGACTCAAGCATCCACACAAAATGATTGTCTTGCAATTATGAACGATAATGGACGCGCAGGTATGATGGCTTTTGCTCTATGTCAAATGACAGGATTCTCAGCCGCAGCTGGCTATAACCTTGTCGCCGCCGCCGCCGCCAAAAAAAAAAAAAAAAAAAAAAAAAAAAAAGAAGAATGATACAAAGGAACAAAGGCTCCCAGTTGTGGAGAAGGGTTTTGGAGATAAAATTGGTCAATCAATGATACCCAGCTGCTATCTAGCCATAAAGTCTCTATTACTCTTCTTGCAGGGACCCAAGTCTGGCAGTTTTATTTGTTCTGCCAGCTTCTCAATATGGCGGTTACAGACATTGAAAATATCCTTCAATATCATTTCAAAGACCCCACGCTCCTCAATGAGGCTCTTCACGCCGATGGTTCAACTCCATCGTTGTCCAAAGAGAACCCCCGAAAGCATGGAAATAAAGCCTTGGCAATGATCGGCGATGCTGTCCTTAGGCTAGTCGTAATCGACGATAGCATCGTAGGGGGCAAAACTCGCCGTAAGTCTTATCAATGTTTAACCCAGATCTCAATACTTCTGGGCTGAAACGAATGTTAACGGGAGCTTGTTTTCATTGAAACCATTAGAGGGCTGCCATGAAATCTGTGCCGCGGAGACGTCGAATACTGCTTTGAGCAAGATCCTTAGCAAATGGGAAATGGATCGTTTCGTTCGTCTACCCGGATCGCTCAAAGGGACTGTGGCTCGAACCACAGGTGCCTCCACCACCGAGGCGATAGTTGCTGCGGTTTGGATAGATTCAAATCGCGACTTTGATACAGTTCATCGGGTAATTCATAATCTCCATATTGGTGTAGGGGCGCCAAGTAGCAGTCGCTTGCCAAAGAAAACTACAGCCGGCATGGTGGTAATAGCCTAGGCTTCAAATGCATATCCCTGCCACTGTGGAGTCTACTAGGTAGTATTAGACATGTCTATTTTAATTGTACTACCAACCGTGGTGAAATCGACAGATAGTTCTATTAGTTCTTCATTCACATGCACGTATAGTCTAATTCAAGCTCAACGCCGCCGCAGCTGCCTCTACAGTAATCGCCCCCGCCGGTATCACAACATGACTTTCACTACTAGGCGTGCTATCCTCCACAAGACTCATAATCTCAACTTCCGCCCCCTTATCCAAATCTGTCCAGGCCGGCTTGTTAATCTTCTCCGAGCCAGCCTCGCTCTTGAAATGGTATCCTCTCGCTCTAGGTCGTTCTCCCGTGCCTTCGGGGAATAAAGGCTCATAAGTAGCGGCAAATCTATTCACGGCATCCTCAAATACAGCCTCTCCTTTGCCGAGAGTCTCGCGAATGCCAGCAAAGAATTCGCTAACAACGTGATGATTGTGTATTTGCAGAAGATTCCAGCCCAACATTTCTTTTGCATTTAAAAGATGGCGGAGATAGGCTCTGTGATGCTTTGTGCAGGTATAGCACTGGCAGCCTTCTACCAGGGGCGCAACGGCCGCGTTATGCTCGGGAGACCACATGTTAATTCCAAGCGGTTGGACCTTGTCAACGCTGGGAGGCGGAAAAGAAAATGTCATGGCCACACCGGCGTCGGAAGTGCTGTTTACAAACATTAATGTGCAAATGTCGATGCCGAGAGAAATCTGACGGAGGACCTCTTGTGGGGTCTTTGGAGTATCCATGGACAACTTGGGAAGAGGTGCTAATGAAGGGTAGTTGACAAGGTCCGGAAGGTTGTTTGTATCGTACATTGCCAGCCCAGACAGCTTATCAATTACATCTTCAGACAGATGCCTGAGATAGTCCCATTGAATAGGGTAGTCCACAGGAAGCACTGGTGCAAACACCAAGCTACCCAATGAATCTGATGATTTGGACAACGCCATGCGGTCAAAGAATTCACCCAACCACACTTCTGTCCGATCCACCATTCTTGCGAGCTTTTTGGACGAAGGGGTTGCGCCAGGATTCGGCAGGTCGGCCAGCGGGAGCACAATATCGGGTTGAAGTGACTGAATCCAGGACGTAAACTCTGGTATCGTTACATTGCGGAAGCCAGTGGATGTGAAGACGGTGATTGTCTTTGGTGTATTTCCAAAAGGAGTTGCAACTGCCGCACATCTTCGAGGGCCCAATATTGAAACTGTACTTGAAGGTAGAGCCGTAAAGCTATGCAGACGACGTGAAATCTCCCCAACAGGGGTGTGCTGGACAGGAGGTTCCTTTTTCTCGATGACTGTCAATCACAGTTAGACATGTTCTTTACTGCTTCATTCAAATGAAAGTTTGCTTGTCTCACATTCTTCCAGTGCCATGTAAACTCCGCTCACAGCGGTGTGTCTTTTGAAATTATCAGGAGTGAGGTGAGGTAGTGATCCACGAGAGGTGGCCGCGATGAAATTCGGCGTCTCGATGGCTTTTCTGCCAGGAAGAGACAACTTTCCAAGCCGTGCTGCAGATCCATCGGCAGCGGCAGAGGTTATCAGCTCGAATATCTTTCGGCCAGACATGTTGGCAGAATTCTCCAGGCTTGGATCACTCATTTTGAGTCGCCACTGCCTCCAGGGTTGGATATAGAATAGAAAAAAAAAAACTAGACAAGTTAGTCTAAAAGATTGCGGTTGAATCTATGTATAATAAAGTCTATAAAACGCCACGGTGCATATTATCAATGCCGCTTGTAAATTTTATAGTTGCTGCAACAAGTCCTCAAACGCACAAGCAAAAATGTCGATGAATGTTGAATCACACGAGCTTTCTGTGAATAGCCACACCATCTTCATTCCCCAGACCGATAAGGCACATCCGCGACTTCGTTATGCTTATCTTTTACCGAGATTCAACCGATAGTTAGTACTAGCGCTTTACCCTTTATAGAAGCGCCTTGTTTGGGCGATATTCTCACATCGCCAATATCAGGAGACATTATGTTAGAATAAAGCAGCAGCCAAGCCTCAAATACCGCTTAGATGTCTCTCCGTTGCTTGGCGAGATGAATCAAGATAATATCCAAATAATGCTTAATCTCGCCACAGACATAACGAGCGTATTCATAAACGTCTCCTGTCCGCTCTCCAACTGGATCTGGTTAGCCGTCACTGAACGGATCCGTCAACGTGAAGAAGAAACCCGAAACAGCGTTAATGTCTGAGACAACAAGAGCGTCATCTGAGCTCTTTGTCTGCTTCAGCGCTGCTCAATAGCAACTTCACATCCAAACACGACCATCACCAGAGATCTGCGATTCGCGATATTTTTGTTGCTTGTTATAAGAGCCAGAGAGCTTAAGCACAGTAGCGTGTGATGAGCGCCGATTTGCCCAATCACAGTACGCAAGCTAAACCGCGTGCCGCTTACTCCGTCCTTGCGACGCTCCATCTCCAGACATCCCGAGCTTCCGGAGCGATTGTCTGTTTCGACCCACCATATCCCCTGTATTTAGAGGCTGAGCCGTCCATCTGAAGCCCGTTTAGTAGCGGTGATAGTCGTTATTTTGCCCGCTGCGAGCTTACGTTACAGTTGGATCTGTAACGAGTACGAGCGTCTCTCTTTTTTCTTTTCTCTCTCTTTTCTTCCCCAAGCGCTCGTCAGCCATGGTGAGACCATTCGAGCCCTACCACGATGAACAGGAACCACTCATGAAGGACGACACAGAGCGCAACGATGCCGGCACCGGCGCTGGCGCTGGAACTAGCACAGTCACCGAGATTGACCACCCTGATGCGCCGCTGGAAAGCCCGAGTCCCGTCGTTGTTGCGACTAACAGCCCCGGCACAGCGCTCGAAGTCATCGACGACAACAGCAGCAGCGACGGCAATGCGCCCACGCCGCGCTTCATCCAGGACGAGCGCTCGTCCAAGCGCTGGAAGAAGATTCCCTATCCCGTCCGCCGAGTCCTGCTCGCAATTGGCAAATGGTCAAAGGGTCCGCCGAACGCCCAGCCGTACCGCATAAAGCCATTGTTCCCGGTGGTGCAGGAATATCCGCTGTTCCTCGTGGAGCAATTCCTGCCCAAGGCCTATCGCTTTTGGACCGTCTTTCTCTACTTTTCCGTATGGCTCATCACTTTCGTGCTGGTCAAGCGCCAAGAGACGATTGCCTCTACCGTCGCGGGCTGGGGCCAGTCGCAGCCCATCAGCTGCGGTGATACATACTGGAGCGCGGGCAACGGGTGCGGCTTGGACGGAAACGACTGCAGGCCGTTCAATGGCAGTGGATTCGCTTTCCAATGCCCGGCCTCGTGCGACAGCTACCACGTCCTGAACCCCAGAGCAGTTGGCGACCAGGAGATTATCTACCGGTCGTTGGTGATTGGAGGACCGTCCAGCGACGTCCATCCCGAGCTGGCTACATATCGCGGCGACTCGTACATTTGCGCCTCGGCTGTCCACGCCGGCCTCTATTCCGACTCAAGGGGAGGCTGTGGCGTCGTCGAGCTTGTTGGTCAGCAGCAAGACTTTATCAGCTCTCAGCGAAATGGCATCCAGAGCATCAGCTTCGATTCCTACTTTCCGCTATCGTTCCGATTCGTTCCGGATATCAAATGCACAGCCAAGGATTCGCGATGGTCCATCTTGGCTCTGTCAGTCGTCTTCACCAGCGTTCTGTCGCTCTTCACGGCCAATCCGGCGCTCTTCTTCTTCCCCACATTCACTGGCTTGTTCTGGGCAGTCGGCATGTCGCTCGACCAGCCCGGGCACTCGACCGTTACCGATTTGTTCTCTAATATTCTGGGCAAATATGTGCCTGCCATGTTTTGCGCATGGGTCATGTACGACAAGATGGGCGTCCGCCGCACGCTCAATCACTTGACTGCTCAAGTCGAAAAGACTGTCCTCTGGTTGGGCGCCTGCTGGGTTGGCGCTCTTACCAACTACACCTTGGATTTCATTCCCATCCAGCGTCTCAACAAGCATGACCTCGACCAGCAACCGGGAGCCCGGGCAGCGCTGGCCGTCATTGTCATCGTCATATTCTGCATTGCCGTTTCACAAGTATTCTTCTTTAGACAAGAGGGGCGTTTCATCAAGTACATTAAACTGTACGCCCTGTTCATTTTCGGCATCATCATCTCCTTGACCCTGCCGGGGCTTCAACTGCGCATCCATCATTATGTCCTGGCCCTTTTGCTGATACCGGGCACAAGCCTGCAGACACGACCGTCGCTGCTATATCAGGGTCTCTTGGTTGGTCTTTTCATCAATGGCATTGCCCGCTGGGGCTTTGATCCCGTGCTGGAGACGCCTGCAGCTCTCCAAGGAGACGCACAAAAGGGAACACTGCTGCCAACCGTTCCTCAACCAGTAATCCACATTGGCGAGGGTGCGCACAGCATGTCCAACATCACATTCACTTGGAATCAGCCTTCGGGCAATGCCTACGACGGCATCAGCATTCTAGTCAATGACGTAGAGCGTTTCCGGGGATATTTTGACGACATCATCGACCGACAAGACAGCTTTGTCTGGCACAGAAACAGCACCCTAGACCTGCCAGAATACTTTAGATTTGCATTCATGCAGGGGAGCTCGAGCGGAGATTATACCAAGGCCGGCATCTGGTCGGCGGAGGGTGAGTGGACGCCGATGAAGGCTGGGCCGTCGCGGGTCAAGGCCAGGAGCGAGGACGACCATAGAGTAGTTCGACGATGATTCCCCATTTGTTGCTGTGTTGATATCTGCGTTTGCTGTTGGATAAATTGCGTCTGGTGTATGAGCTAAGTATATAGAAGCAAACTGCATAAATGAATACGCGTAGTTGTTTCTCCATCTTTTATCAAGATACCTGAAAATATACGATATCTGAACTAGTTGCACGGATTGGACCTTCCGGCCCGTCTTTGGAACGAGCTGGTAGTGGGACCCTCCGGCGCCGGGACAATGCTCCATTCCGAGATGCCTCCGCGCCGTAAATGCGGATTGACGAGTACCTACCTTTACAACATCACCTTCTTCATCTTGAATCATGCAACCGCAACGACCAGAATACTTGAGTTTTTATTGTTATATCCACAGTTGCATTTGAATTATTTCAATCGATAGTTAGCAATCGCTTCTGGGTTTATCGTCATCTGGGATACAACTCATGACAGCTTCATCATCACAATCGTCAAAAAAGTGGCAACTCAGCAATCAACCTCATTATTCCAATTCTTCGTCAATAAAAACTCACCATGCCTCCAAGAATACCCACCGAAGCAGACTTCTCCCCTCTCTCTTCCACTCTCCCCCACAAACTCCATTTCCCAAACCCGCCCGAGTCAACAACCTCCATCCTCATCCTCTTCCACGGCCTCGGCGACCACGAAGTCCCCTTCGCCACTTTCGCCCGCAACGTCTCTCTCCCAGGCGTCCTCGCCATATCCGTCCGCGGCACATCTCCTCTCCCAGCGGCCTTTCTTCCCGACGCTGCCGCGGGCCAGAACTTTCACTGGGGCGACGACCTGAGCATGGACACCAACACGGGCGACATTGACGCCGATCCGGGCTTCGACAAGGCGTCGAGGCTGGTCATGGAGAAGCTGGTCAAAGGGACGCTGATTGAAAAGTGCGGATGGGAAATGAACGACATTCTCTTGTTTGGGTTCGGACAGGGCGGCTCCTTGGCTCTAGGACTGGCATCTCGGCTGCGAACTGTCGAGCGCATAGTTGACATTTCAGATGGCGACGATGCGACGAAGCAGAAACTCGGAAAGACGTGTAAAGGCGTCGTTTCGATTGGCGGTCCGCTGCCCTCATCCATGATCCCCTCGTTGAGCAGTCGTGAAAAGAGCAGTACTCCAGTGCTGGTGGTTCAGCTGGATGAAGATGAGGCGGATGCGGTTAAGAGAGAATTCAAAGAAGTGAGGGTGGTTAATTGGAGGAGGAAAGAGGTGGCCATGCCAAGAGACAGAGAAGAAATGTTTCCCATTATGAAGTTTCTTGCAGATCAGCTAAACAAGGGCTACACATAGAAGACGGGCCTTCACAAGATGAAATGCAATTGGTATTGGATAAAATAGATAAGGGCATCTCTGTGCTGCCCTCTAAATCTCTGTTTCTTGATGTGTCGTTGGCCATGTCAGCCCGTCTCGCTATCCGGATAACTATCCCAAGATGTACTGCTAGCAGAACGCACTACATTACACGAACAAAGCGCAAAACTATCACCGCAAGGGCAATAAAGAGAGTAGCTACCAAGAACGGCAGACCCGTCCACACTCCACCAGCGTTGGCACCGCCTCTAAAACAAACCTCCATCAATGGCCTGCCAATGACACCGCCCAGACTCTCCATCAGGGCTGCAGAAGCGAACAGTAGACCGCGGTGCTGCCCGTCGACCAGTTCCGAAAGCAGACCACGGAGAATAAGGCCATACGGGAACCCGAAGCTCAAGATAACAAGACCTGGCAATTCAGTCTTCGTTAGCAGATCATCCAGGAATCCGATGTATATCATTGGGGGGGAAAATGGATTCAAAAAGAAAGAGATTGGCTGGTCTTCAGATGTAGAGGGTTTCTTGTTTCCTTGTTCTTACCAATTAGCATAAGGCTGCTCGTCGGAGCGAGACCAACAACGAGACTGCCCACAACCATCAAAATGCAGCCAATGCGTGCAAAAAGAAGATCCCTCTTTTTCGGTTGCATCGCCCTCTTTATCGTAAGAAAGTAGTTGGCCGCTGGGAGGACAAGTAAGAGCAATATGACACTAAAACCAGCCTTGAAGTGTATCAAATTTCCCGCCTATACGGATAATGGTGGTTAGCCATGACTGTCCTCCCAAACTGGGCTTCAGATTCAAAGAGGAGAAAGGAAGACCAACCCTTAGCCAATCCCATCCAAATCGCCAATTCGCATATGGGAGGAGCATAATTTCCGCACTCTTTCCTGCCGACGTGACCAGTAGGGTCAGCAACAACAATGCGACCTGCCGATTGCCCCAGAAAACAGAAACAGTAGCCTCTTGAAACCTAGGCAAGCCCTCAGTAAACGAGCGCCGCCAACGAGTCCACCAGGGCCTGTTGTGGTTCTCATCTCCGTCACGCTCTTCCTCGTTGGCGAGAGCAGCCTCAGCCAGATCCGGCGCCACGTCATCCAGCAACGCCCTCATGTGGAGAGTCTCCGGGAGAAACAACGCAATAGCAATAATCGGGATGTAGAGACTGATTCCAATGAAGATTGGGAGCCAGATATTGGTGTACTTCAATGTCGTAGCCAAGGGGAAGACGAATAACTCGGCAACTAGCCATGAGACACCAATACCAAAAAAGGTTGTAGTGCTTGAAAGTTGAAAAGCATATAATCAGTAAACAATAAAATATATCAGCTGTAAAATTGCTTAGTTCTCTTACCGGTGGGCATCGGGTGCAAGGTCTGATAGCATCGAGAAGAGCATCGACGAGAGGACGACAGACCCGCCTCCAATAAACATGAATAACGGCGATATCCATGTCAATCGGTAGTGGAAAACATTGGGCCAAAGGTCTTTCAGACTTTACGTTAGATAAACACTGAAAATCACAGCAATATTCACCATCGCCGTTTGAACTCGGCTCACGAAACAAGAATACTTACAGACGATGATATTGAACGCTTGCGCCAAGACCAGGCCCACGATGGACAGGAACAGCCCAAACTTTCGCCCATACTGGTCCGCCAAGAATCCATACGGAACAGCAGTCAAGATGCCCGGCAGAATGGTGAACACGTAGCTCAATCGAGTCACCAGCATCAATTCTGTGCCGACCTCCCCATCAAAGAAGCATCCAGGGCTGCCCGGCTCATACTCTGGATGCAGACGGTGACAGACATTGCGCATGAGCAGGTCGAAGAGCGGAATCACCTGCAAAAAGGAGCTTGACACGACCAAGAACGATATGATGAAGATGAGGATGCAATAGATTAGATGCCGACGTGGAAATGCTGCATTGGTTTCGGAGCGTGAGGAAGTTGCTGCTGGTACATGTTCCGGGTCTCGGTCAGGCTGATCAGGGAGCAGGCGTGATCGCTCATCGACATCCATGGCTGTGGACTATTACTGACAGTTCGCGGCTATCGCGCTGTTCTTAGCAGGGCATTTCAGACCGATCACAAAAGAGAGATGCGTTCGTAGAAGGTGATGAGAATGGCCTTCTCTTTTGATGCGAGAATAAGCTTAACACAAGCTTGTTAAAAGCGGGCGGGGGTGGTACGATTACGACGGCTGAAGCACTTGAAAACGGGAACTTTGGTAAACCGAGATCCAACAGTACATACAGGCTAAGCATTTATTGCAGTCCGTATTCGCCCGCCAATCAAGGGCAGACAAACTTGCGCGTGATTCATGATTCGTCATTCAAGATTCAAAGGATTTCGGGGACTTTTGATCTATTATACTTGAAGAATTAACTTCACTCGCCTAGCATCACTTGCCTCTGTCTCCCGCCTGCAGCATATCTGCCAAAATGTCCCATTTCGCAGACTGAGTATCGCTCGAGGCCCTCGCAGCGCCTTTCAGCTCTGAGCAAATGAAGCTTAAATGTTTGTTGTAGTCGGCGATAATCTCTTCCAGCAAAGGTATATAATCCTCGCTGGTTAGCCCATCTTCTGTTGTTGCCCCCTCTGTGCTCTCATGTTCCCGTCTAAACAGGTGAGATGGCTCGGATCCGTCCATCGCAGCTTTTCCCTCTCTTGCTAATTCCAACTTGATAGTGAGATCTAGAATATCCAGAATCCGCTCCCGTATGGGTGCCAGCTTGCTCCCCAGGCAGGCTTGCTCAATCATCTGCTCCAAACATGCAGCGTGCACCGAAATCATCGAATCGACATCTTCAGCCAACAAGAGATCACGCCGCATTACCCTCTCATTAGGTTCTAAGACGAGCGTTGCCAAGTATGACTGAAGAGTTGTGCAGAACCACAGTAACTTGCTCCGAGCAGTGTAGAACAAAGCACGTTCGTCCCAAAGAGGGTTATCGGTCTGGAAATTGTCCAGAATCCTAGGCTTGTGCAGGACATGGATAGCCCGTCGAAGCTGTAATAGAAAAATGAAAATGGATCGATAGTTTTCAATACTCTCTTCAGAAACAACAATCCGGATTGGCCATGCCAGTCGATAATCCACCATAACATATGGCAAGGCCGCTCTAATCGAACCTCGGGCGTCTGATACAGTCATACGTGTGCCCTGAACACTAACACCCACAGATAAGCGGCTCGTGTCAAGCAGCAGCGCAAAGGCATCTTGTGCAGTTCCAGCAAGAGCAAAGCGATCATACCAAACCGGATTCAGGTTCTCCAGCTTATCGAATAAGTGATCTGCAAACGATGCAGTGGCAAATCCATCTGACATGAGATACAGCGCCTGTAATGCATCCAACGATGATGAGAGCTCACACATATCAAAAAGAGCATCTTTCAAAGTGGTAGAAGTCTTACGATATTTGCTCTGGATCCATCGGTTAAAGGCAGCACCAAAAAGATCAGGGAATGTAGCCAGACCAAGCCCTTCCGGGCAGACATGCTCGAAATCCAGGGATGGTTCTTCAGCTGCGGATGAGCTACCTAGCTCATATTTGCCTAGGAGCCGCAGCACAACAATGTTCTTTCCGGCATTGTATATTCGGTGCGCTGAAGGTTTGAGGAACTTTGGGGCATGTAATGTCCCGTCAGCGGTCTGGCGGAGATTAAAGCGGTCTTGCCATATATGGCTCATGGGTACTTTTATCGGTCTTTCGACAATAAAGAAGATTTCGTTTTCAGATGAAATACGCCCCTCGTCCATCCAGTGACGAATCGGGCGGATATATACCTGAAAGCATTCGAGAAAGATTCGGGCAAGAAATTCATAGGTAGCCATGTCATCTCTCATCTGAGCCAGGGTAGTTTCATCGTAAAGGAGCTCCAAATACCGAAACGTATCCGATCTGGAAGTCTCCTGAATCTGTGCGATGATGTCGGACAAGATGAGAAGCGGTTGCAGCCATGGTGTGATTTCTCCAATGACCGACAGCAAGGTAAACATCACCTCACCCGTAGGGGCGGCAAAGCGAGCCTCTATTTGCGAGAGCTTTGTGTCAAAATCTCGAAGCCGTTTTGTGATGCAGTCTTGAAACGCCTGAAGATGCGGAATGACCTGTGGATGGCTGACAAACCTCCAAAGTAGCAGAATTCGCCGGCCAGAATCTGCAATGTTGCGTATCACGGCCTTGTATGTCTCCCAGGCGATATTTTGCATGTGGAAATTCGGCTCAGGTAAGCCGGTGGTGTCGTTAAAAAGGGTCGTTTTCAGGCCCTGCAGCATAGAGAGAACTTCTCGGACGACTTGTGTCTCTGGTATGACAATTTTCTGGATAAGTCCTATATCATCTTTCTGGGGTACCTCAATCCGCCACTGTTGCGTCGACTGCACAGCTTTCAGCAGCTCTGTGTCCTCGGGCTGAACGACACAATCGGCGGCAGTCCTCCCCTTCTTATGTAGATTGGTATCGACATCGTTGGTATAAAATGGCGTGGCTTCTATGGGCGTTTCGTCCGGCTCGTCTTCGATAGATTCGTCTCCAGATTCTTGCGCGTAATCAATCGACTGCCATAAAAGCTCGTCCTCATCCCAGCCATCTTCTCGAGCGATCTCTTCCCAGCTAAACGTTTCCTTTTGCTGCTCTTCGCGCAATCGTACAGCGTCAAGGTCGCTGAGCTTCGTCTTGAAAGTCGGTTGGTCAGATAGCCCGAGGAGCAGAGCGAATATTTCTGGGTGCCATTTGGTGGCGTGCGCCTCCAGTCGATCCAAGCTGTTGCGGAATTCGTCGGCAAGGTCATCTCGATTGTTCACTCGAAAGCGTTCTTCCAGTCCATCGAGAGCGTGTTGTACCTCGAACTGGTTCGTGCGGAGGTATGCCTGGGATTTGATTGTCGCCAAGGTGGCATCGTAAAGCTCTTTGTATCTCCTGGATCTTGTCTGGTATTACGCGATTCAAACAGTCAGCTCCTCCAGTCCATGAAGTTCAGAAGCTACCGCGAGATAGCCACGGGTTCCCCTCCTCCCCACCTTGCTAGGAAGCCCTGTGACAGCTTCGATGAGCTCTCCAGTGAGAGCCCCAAGAGTTGCGGCGTGGGCCATTGCCAGCGGTTGGCATTTTCAGCAGCAATGGCGGCCGACCGAAGCTGATGATGTGAAGTTGCGTATTCAATGTGTTAAAAGACAGTGGTTCGCTACATGTGATAAAGTCAACAGCTCAATGGCACTTAACGGGCCAGTTCTAGCGCGTCTCTAGCGCGTATGTGGGGGAGAGACCTTCTGAACCTCTCATCGGCAGGCGATTTTCTTAGCGTCCCTCGATAGCATAAAGCAACCACGCCCCTTTCAACTTGGATCTGTTTTGGAGATACCAATAGCGACATCCACTCGCAAAGGCCACACGATACGGACGGTTGGATGCGCGGCCTCATCGATTAGGTCTGTTGCTACCAAAGCTTGCTGAGTAGCCAATTTGCCGACCAATCCCTGTGTCTTTTCGCTCCGGCCGCATAAAAGAGCCCTCCCATGGACAATTAAACCCACAGCCTTACTGTCGGGCTTTTCGCAACCATCGCATCTTCTACATCATGGCCATAGCCCGGCCAGTACGGACTCTAGGAGGCCTGGCCATTGTGCTGTGGTGCTTCTTCTTATACCAGGTCCTCAAACCCTCATCTGGATACAACAGCCCGGGCGATCGGTACATTAACTTTGAGCGCGACCCCAACTTGGATCGTAAGTCTGTAGCGCATCCAAACAGCAGATTGACACGAGGGAAGATAAGCTGACGGCTCTTTCAACTCTGCAGCTACCGGCGAACCTGAGGGAACCCTTGTACGAACGTCGGACAAGTATGCGCCAGACGCCGAAGACACCGATCGAGTCAGCGCCACATTGCTAGCCCTTGTCCGCAATGAAGAGGTGGACGATATGGTAGCGTCCATGGTAGACCTCGAGCGGACCTGGAACAACAAATTCAACTACCCGTGGACTTTCTTCAACGACAAGCCCTTCTCTGAAGAGTTTAAGAAGAAGACAAGCGCCGCGACCAATGCCAAGTGCAACTACGGTACGTTGCTTGCTCTGAGACACAAACACCACGAGTCCATATCCACGGCTAACTAGTAGCAATCGTAGAACTCATCCCCAAGGAGCACTGGGACGCGCCCTCATGGATCGATCCCGCAATCTTCAAAGAGTCCGCTGCGGTGCTGAAGAAGAATGGAGTTCAATACGCCGATATGATGTCATACCACCAGATGTGTCGCTGGAACAGTGGCATGTTCTACAAGCATCCCGCCCTTCAGGATGTCCGTTGGTACTGGCGCGTCGAGCCCAAGGTTCACTTCTTCTGCGACGTCGATTACGACGTCTTCCGCTACATGCAGGATAACAACAAGACGTACGGTTTCACCATTACCTTATACGACGACCCTCATACTCTGCCTACTTTGTGGCCCCAGACAGCCAAGTTCCTGGCCGATCACCCCAACTACCTACATGAAAACAACGCTGTCAAATGGGTTGTTGACGATACCCGACGACCCGAACACAATGAAAAGGCCCAGGGATTCTCTACATGCCACTTCTGGAGCAACTTTGAGGTTGCCGATATGGAATTCTGGAGGAGCAAGGTATACGAGGACTATTTTGAGCACCTCGATCGTGCTGGAGGCTTTTTCTATGAACGATGGGGTGATGCGCCCGTCCACAGCATTGCATTGGGTCTATTTGAGGATTCAAGCAAAATTCACTGGTTAGTTGTTTTCTTCCTCTTCCCCTGATTAAGTTCGTCTATACTAAACTGCTCTTCAGGTTCCGAGATATTGGTTATCAGCACATTCCTTTCTTCAACTGCCCCAATTCTCCAAAGTGCAAGGGTTGTGTCACCGGCCGCCTGACAGATGGTGAACCATTCCTTCATCGAGAAGACTGCAGGCCGAACTGGTTTAAATATGCCGGTATGGGCTGAGGGAAGAAACAATGTGAAGCAACTACCTCCATCTCTTTTCGATACACCACATCCGAGGACCGCACCCCGAATCACATATCTTAGCATCGTACAAGTCGGACAATTACTACTTCAAGACATAATATCATCATTAGCTTATTATGGGAAATTTTAGGATGAAAATATCCCCTTATCCAAGCATCCGCCATATACGCTCTCATGGCCATCTTATATCCATATACCTTGTTCAAAGAGATGAACTCTCCAATAACACGCAGTATAGCTCCTCAACACGAAAGCAAAATAAAAGAAAATATCGTTGTTCCAGAAAGTATACTCCTTGTGCCATGTACTGTATCAATACTATAACGTCCCAAACACAGTAACCACTCCAGACGTCCCTCCCACGCAAAACTGATCCCCCCAGCCTCCATCTCTCCACGCCATACAGCTAATGACATTGTTCCGCACCTTTGGCTTGCCGTCCTTCCCAATCACCTTCTTCACCTCATGGCCCGCCGGTCCCCAAGCCACCGTCACCTTGGCCACCACTTTGCCCGACAAGATATCCCATGCCCATATCCTCCCTGCGCCTCCAGTAGCAGCATCCGCCTCTCCAGCCATCTCGTCTCCAGCCACCACGTACTTGTCCTTGCCGCCCAGCATCGACTGCAGCCGCAGCTCCTCATTTTTCCACAGCGGATCCGAGTACGCCCGGAGACACGTCCCGTGCTCCCTATCCATCAGCCGCAACTTGCTATCCAGCGAGCCCACCAGCATAGCTTTGCCATCTCTCGTAACGTCCAGGCTCACCACGCTCGCGCCCACAACATCAGTGGTGCACCTCCCCATCCGCACATCATAGCTCCTCACCCGCCCATCCACACTCCCCGCAACCACCTCCGGCCCCATCACCGCCAGGCTCGTCACCGCGTCCTTCGCCTCGCTCAGCACCTGAATCGGCTTGAAGCTCGTGCTGCGCACATCCCACACCCGCACCGTCGTGTCGAACCCGCCACTCACCACCAGCGAGTCCCCCGCGCCCGCAAAGCTTACGCAGTTAATCCGCGCCGAGTGCCCCTGCGCGTTGCCGCCAAACCGCCTCGTCGTCACCGCCTTGGTCACGTCCCACAGAAAGACGGCGCGGTCGCCGCCCCCAGACACGAAACTCTCGTTGTCGGTCGCGACGGCGAGGCTGGTGACTTCGTAGCCGTGCGCGGCGTACATCTGGATGAGGCGCCCCTGTGGCACGGCCGGCTTTGCGCTGGGCCGGACCTCGGGGATGGACGTGCTGGGGAAGGGATTGTACAGCCGGATGGAGCGATCTGCCGACCCGGTGAGGATGTAGTTTCCGGGAGAAGCAGAATAAGCTACGGCATGAACGGGACCTAGAGAAGCGTGAGCAAAAGATCCATGGCGATGAACGATTCCAATACATAATTCGTGTTGGATATAAAAGAGATGAAACAAACCATTAGAGCCAAGAAGATGTGCCACGGGCCTATCTGGAAAAGCCATTGTGTAAAGCGCCACGGCTCATCGCTAGCATGATATTTTCCAATAATCGCAACGGCATATGCCAAGAGAATTCAGGGCCACGACATGAATGAGTGTTGAGTGAGAAGCAGGAAAAATCATAAGACGCCGAGACTGATTAGCTCTCTTAGAGCGGCATAGTGACGCCTGTGATGTTTATTATCAGAATTTTTTCTTCTTGTCTGATTTCGAATCAATCAAACACGGAACAACTGGGCACAGACCCAAAGATATCAAATGAGTGCAAGGATAGATATATCTATTACAGTCGCTGTGCTGATTGTTTCATTCTTCAACTAGCTAGGTAGCGTTATCATACAGTGTTATTATCAATCATAGACTCATTCACTGTATGGAGCATCACATCAAACTGACACGTGACAATCCCGAACAACTTCAATGTTAACCACTTATACTTGGAATGTAGTTTATATAGGTAAGTATAAACACAGACATCAAACGTGACACGTCATTTAGATTTTGTATCCTCCCAGTCAATACAAAGATCCTTCATCAAGACCCTCCTTGATAGATCGAATGCCCCAAACTCCCCATCCTGCGTCATCCGATTCAAGTTGCCCTGATCTTGATGCCTCCTTATCTGCCCAAATGGGCAGCTGTCTAAAACGCTAAATTATGCCATAACACGTTACATAATTGCAATGCCAATGCAAATCCAAAGCCAAGATAAAGGAAGAGAAAAAGAGAAAAATAAAACTAATAATAGAATAAGCCTGCAAAGGAAAAAGGGGGGGGGATAAAATATATATGTAGAAAAGGAACAAGTAAAAGTAACTCGCTTCTGTACCTTGCTAAAAGAAAGGTGAAGGAAGACTTTACCGCCGGGCTTGGTCTAATCAAGTGCAATGTAAACCATATCCATATCCTTGGGGAATGTGTCCTCAATGGGATCGAAAATTTGCCAGTGGCTATTCTCTTTGTCTCTGACTTCTTCTGAGAGAGGAAGCAGGCGATAGCCTTGGATAGGGCTGGGTGACCGTGATCCTTGCTCGCGGATTCGATTCAATTTTTGAAGGCGCCGGTCAATCGCTAGTCGGTCTTTTGAAGATGATCCCCAGACACCTGTCATCTTATCAACAGCGGACTTTGCAATTCGAACTCGGTCAATCAGTTCTCCAAGGACTGTCATAGGCCCACCTGCAGTCAAGACATCGACAGCTTCTGTGACAACGATGGCCATGGCGGGAGGGGGGATGTTTAGCAGCGTAGGTCGAACCCTCAAGATACGCTCAAGGCAGTTCAGCATGTCAATGACGCTGCTTGCATGGTCCCGACACTTGGCTGAGTGTTCCATCTGCACATCTTTGGGTAGCTGGTTGGCCCCGTGGCGATGACGGTTCAACTCAATCATGGTATGATGATAAAGAAGATGCATACTGAGGAAAGTACCGATGCTTCTGGTATAGGCAGCGGCTTCGAGGTTTGTCCCGCCGAATGTCATACGAGAGGGCAAAGAGGAGTTCCATTTCTCGGCTTTCTCGACGAGAGCTTGTAGCTTCATGGTTTCCGCTTCGAGAGGAGTTCTCCTAAGAGCCATTCTATAAATGGTAGCTTGGCAATCAGACCAGATATGCACCATCTCGATGTGGTACCCACCAACAGCTGTGTCGGAGTGTTGCTCAGGAATCCTAATAAGCTCGTATGGATCAAAGCTTCGTGATTGTGCCTCGATTCCCTTCTCAAAGCTGTGGATATCCGCAGGAAGCTGCACATAGATATCTTCTGCATTGAGCATTACCGGCCTCTCTGGAAAAAGCCCGCTAAGCCTTTCCAGCATGAACAGAGACCAAAATGTCCTCTTGCGTGATTCAGCATAGGTTATCCTAGTAAGCCCCAGAGGGAAAGCGGTCATAGACGACTCCCTAGAGTGATCGAGCTCCAGACTTAGTTGTAGACAAGCTGCGCTGGCAGCCGCAGAAGCAACTAGCTCATCGGCCTCCCTAGTACGGCATGTTGATATATAGTACACGGCAAGGAGAATCCTGCTCTGTACTAGTTGCAAGCACTGCAACTCCGTCATCTTTTGCGCATAATGTGCTACTTGAGCATACTCATAAGCAATATGCTTGGGATCACCGCAGAGCGCAGAACCAACAGCGAGCATGCTGTATAGTAGCATCAGATCTTCAGGGCTTTTGCGGTCAACAGAGGTGATGACCCAATATTTGAAGATTTCTTCGGGAAGAAATTGCAGAATCATGGTGCTGTCGACATTGGCGAAGAACCTAGTCAAAGCGCTTGTGATCAAGTGAGGATTCGATGCAAAGGGATCTGTCCGCCAAGCGCGGCCGAGAACGTCATCAGAGATTCTAGTTGGCTCGGGGAAAGGTTGTTGTTCAGCGATTCTCGGGTTCGGGTAATCCGTCACGGCATTGAATGAAGCAGGAGATTCGCCATTAGCAATGTACGCCTCAGAGCTAACCTTGAGCCTTTTGCCGTAACCCCTATCTGGAGAATCTGCATGCATTCCTCCTCGGGGCGATCTTGGAGAGCTGGCATCGCTGACTGAGCGTCGAAGGTCGCCGGCGTCAAGTGAGCCGTTGTGCTGCCGGCCATCATCAAGCTCTATAGGAGAAGTCGATGGTGAAGTGTTATGGCCCCCTCTTGGTCTAGAGAGAATGTCAACATGGTCTCTAGCAATGCATACATATAAATGGATACTCACGCATTCTTGAACTTGCAGATGCGACCAAACTTCTCACACTGGACACATCGAGGATAATCCGGATCGCATTTAATCTTCTTCTCTCTGCAAGTTACGCATGCAATAGCCAGTCGCTTTCGAGGCTTCCCCGCCTTAGTCACACCCCAGTGAGCATTCACCGCCTCGCCATCAATCACAGTTTTACAATGGCTCCCATCGTCGTAGAAATAGCACATCCCTTCGCCTGGTACTTCGGCTGCTCGCACGAACCTCGGGAGGAAATGCGTGCCTGTCCAAATTTTCGGTCCCAGACCATCTTTAGATACAGCAATTTCGGCAGTAACGGCAGCAGCTGAAGCTGAGGGCGCGTTAGTATCCGAGCCGTGTACTGCTTGACTGAGTCGACGTTCGGAGTAATCATTGACTGGATCCTTGGGCGTAGACAGCTGAGGCCGGAATTTGTCCTGTGGAGGCAGATACGACAAAGAATCGCGAGGTCCTACGGGATATTCTTGCCTCCCATCTTCACGATAGACTGACCACTTCCTGACTAATTCTGGTTCGTAGCGTGCGTCCGAGGCCCTGTGGCCGTGGTCCGGGTACTCATATGAATGCGGTCCAGCAAAGGGGGTCGCTAGAGGGTGAGCGGCTTGTCTGTCGTGGTGGTCATATTTAGCGTCGTAAGAGTTTCGCTGTTGTGGTAGAGAAGAGGAAATGGTTTGCGGAAAATAGGAGCTGGAGAGATTTCCGCCGCTCGACGAGAGTCGCGGTCTGTCCAAGGGGGAAGGTGAAGGATAAAGGCCAGGGCGCTCCGTCTGTGGTGAGCTGAGGGACCGCAAGGACGCTGGTGGACCAAAAAGACTGCTCAGCGAAGGAAGCTGTTGTCGGACAGACGAACTGCCGACAGATTCTTGCCGCCCTCGACTACCTTCTGTATTACTCTCAGAAGACATATCGACGGAGGTTTTGCCATAGTGGGACATGGAAGCAGCAGTGAGTGAAACCGACGCGCGAGGTCCCCAGGCTGCTTGTTCTTCTAGAGGAGACGACCGGGAAGAAAACGAAGTTGCGCTTGGACTTATAAGTTCAGGGGGGGTATCCGGCGGCGGAACTCGATGCAAAGAGTCTAGAGCTGGTAATCCACCCATCGAGGAGAATATGCCACTGTTCTTTTTTAAGATGACAGTAGCTAACAAAATGGCATATCCTGGAAACCAATGGAGTTAAGTAGGAAGGAGAGCGCCCAGCGACGAAGGAGTGGCTAATAAGCGTCGAAAGAAATACTCCCCCCGGGCTGTTCCACAGGATCGAAAGGAGAAGGCTGCCAGATGAGTAGCGGAGCGGTAAAGAGCAACAACAGATGAATGGCCCAGAAATGAGATTGCTGGTTAAGTGAGTACAATGATGCGGGTTCGAGTTTTTGTGAAAGAGGCTTGTAAAGTGATTAGATGGTCAAACCAGTCTATAAGTCTTTTTCCAGCCAGGGAAACGAAGGGACCAAAATGACGAAGAAATAAAATCAAAGGCCAGCAGGGCTGAACTGTTCTTTTCTTTTTTCCCCTCGCTCTGTAAACAAAAAGGTCAAAATAAATGGTCCAGCGGTCACTAGTACCAGCTGCTGAATCTGGGGAGAAGATGGGGAAGATGCGGGTGGGCGAAGAGGCGACGAGGAGGGTATCAGTGGCTTTTGAGATTTGAGCCACTGCCGCCCACAAAAAAGAAGTCCCCAAAAAGACGGACAAGGTAGGCGAGGGAAGCTAGCAGGACCCAGTCAAGTTGAACGGTAGAAGAGGAACAGATACACCGAAGCAACCCCAAACGAGACCAACAAGGGCAGTTACCAATGGGCCGGACACGGCTGAGGCCTGTATGCTGGCTCGGAATCGAGACACGCCTTGGTGGGTACAAGGCAAATAACCACTATCTGGCTAGCCAGGTCGTTGGTCGGTATCAGTCTCGAGTCAAAAGTGGCTGGAGGGGTCCATGGCCTAGAGGAAGCCCCAAAAGGACCATTCGATAGTGCCGCTCCGGACCTGAACTTGTGAATATGGAGCGTCCCAGCCCACCTTGCACCTTGCCACACGTGCGAGATGGTCCACTCCGTCGTTGTTGCCGCGGCCCTACAGACCGGGACCAGGCCAAGAGCATGGGTGCAGGTGTATCCAAGGTACGAGATCGAATCCGGTGCGCACAAATACCTACAAGTAGTACTTTGGTACGAGTATAGCGCACAGTTGGCCGTGCTAGCAGCCAACGGACCCGTCGTCGTCATGCCATCATGGGGGGCCGTTGTCTGGGGGCCCGAGCGACGACGATATGCTCAGGTGCTGGCAGCCCATGACGGCAGCCTGGCTAGCCAGCGTCATTCATGGCCATAAGCCTCATCAGCCTGGCCCGGCAGGGAGGTTTCACGGCATGAGGCGCCGCTATACGCCGAAGCTGCTGCAATGCTCCAAGTACAAGCTGCCTTGCACTGCCGGACACAGGATCCCGTACCTCTTCGCGGCGTAATTGAGGACACGGCTAAGCTGGATAGGCCGTCCGAGTACTTGCAGGAAGGGCATCGGTCTAGCAGCGGCACGGTATTCCCAAAAAGCGTCTGTAAGGAGATTTGTCGACTGTGGCTGGCGTCCGTACGAGGCATCTTCCCTGGCCTGAGCTGGCCTTGGCCGGTCTTGATACTCAATGGGGCATCCTGGTCGTGCGCTAAAGGGATTGATGGCTGACTGGGCCCTCGAACAGCGGCGTGGTTCGCGCAGAAAAGAAAGCAGAACACACGCGCACCCACGGAAACAGATTGCGCACACACCACCTTTTGCCGTGGCTGGAAGGGCGTGCGTATAGCGAAATGGGTGAAGCGACGCAAGTCAGCCGCACCGCGCACACCCTCTCGCCGGACGGTCTGTCACTCCCGCAGAGGAAATTCCAGGAGGCAACGCAGCAAGAGCGGGAGATGGACGGAGCATCGCGGAGATGGTACTTTTGGTGGAGGATGCGAGAAGAGTCTGCCAGGCACGGGAACGGAATATTTGGGATTTAATATGATGTACTTGCTATTCTCAAGTGCAAGTGCAAGTATCTGTTATCTCTTAATATGGCAAGTGCCATCTAGGTATCGTGCGTCTTTTAGCCGACATCGAGCAGGTAGCAGGGCAGCCGCGACTGCCACCATAATTCAATCAATGATGTTTTACTGGCGGTACTGCCTACTTTTAGGTACAGCTAGCATAGCGCTACGAACAAACTGAAAGATAGGGTAAGGCTTATTGCTCCTTTCTCCGAGCGAGGCAACTTGCTGGCTTTGTCTTACCTTACGTGTGTGTACTTGCAGCGTGCGCTGTCAGCAACGGCAATGCAGGGTCTCACTTGATACTGCCGCTTCTCTGTGTACCAGGTTGGCAGGTACTGGGAGTGAGAGGCTCGTGCTGGAAAGAGCAAGTGCCGGGAGCGAGACACTGGAAGGCACGAACCCGGCCATCAGAAGCTAAAATGACGAGAGCCGATCTCACTGCCTGCGAAGTACGAGTACGCGTACTTGTAATTCCGTCCTAACTTCTCTCCCGCCAGGGTCCAGGCCTGTCTCGACACAGCCAACAGCCTCCCACCTATCACACCCGGCTCATAGACTGCTCTTCTCGAGCTGGCACGAATCGTCACAGGCTCGTGGCATCTCGATACCCACCGCATTACAAATCGATAGCACTTGGACGTTTGCCGGCGGCCAGTGCCTCGCCTTGCCTTGCCTCGCTACACACACGCCCAGCACCGGCGCCACGGCCACCGCCCCTTACAGCCCGGCAGATCGAGCACTCGATGAGCGAAGAGGCTCAACGCAGACAAAGGGCGAGATTCACCTTACTGCCGGCATGAGCAGCGGCGGCATCACAGTCGAGTCCCAAGCCACGGCACACACGCATTAATTCCGCGGATACCGAACCCATTTTTCACAGGCCAGGCCGTGGTCGGTTCGTATACCACGAGTGCATTCGCGCACCAACACCGGCGGCACTGCCACCAGAAGAGAAGCACTCTGCAGCATCCTCCTTGCACAGAGCACTTTTGAACACGCCGACATTGCCAGTATCCTCGTGCGCAGCAGGATTTATTAGCCAGTGTGACCGTCCGTTGGATCATGACATCTGCCTAAAAATATATCCACCAAAAAAAGCACGTTGGTCGAAGATTGTCCAGCACGTTGGTCATGGAGAGCCAAGCTGGTGTGTGGTATGTTGGTTTATACTGCGAGTCAGTGCTACTTCTCGGGGCCGTGGTGCACAAGAGCCGGGCTGAGACAACCAAAAGTACCATGAGCTGCGGGCCCTCTGTCCGTACATGTACAAGCGCCTCCTACTGCTCGCTACACCAGCCTGAGGTCACATTACAAGGGTCGCCAGACGGAAAAGTTCAGGGATCCCTCGACAGGGTGTTCGGCGCACTAAAAAGATGAGCTCGGCAAGCATTCCGACCTTCTGGGGTTGGTTATTATTGGAACCGGTGGTTGCAGTGGTGTAACCATGTGGGTGGGAGCGACTGCAGATTATCACGTACAGTGGTGTACCATGGATCAGCGAATCCAAAACATCTCAAGTGAGATATTGAACGCATCATACCTTGATTTTCGATCAGCGACCGCGACGATTGATCCAAGCTCACAGGCTTTGGCCATTCGCTGGTCAGCGTCCGAAGCAATCAGGTCAGAAACATGCAGAGGCTTTCGATTACGGCCCTTTCACTTGGCATCTCTGCCACCCGTACTTAGAAGTCCGTTGATGGTGTCAGTTGGCCGCAAATTCTTTCAGCTACAGTATGCAGTCGACACACTCTATCCTTTCATAGACGCTTGCGTATACTGGCCAGTTGCGTTTCGCGATGGGAAGGGATCGGCTGACAATCCCACCGGCTTTTTCGCACTCAAGGTTAAATAATCAACATTTATCCCGAGCAGACGACGGCCAGGGATGCCTCGTTGCTTTCGCTTCCTTAGCAAGTGAGCGGGGACCCTTGAGAAGCAAGAACGGATTGGAAAAGACGGCTCGGGGTGTGGTTTCGTCGCGTGGCGAGCCTAGGTTCCTTGGTCGGCAATCCAAAAGATTCCTATGGCCTGTGCACACCATTTGCCGCTTGAAAAAGGAACAAAATCAAGCGTCATTCAAAAGCCGGCCCTAGAGCAGCCATGAAACTCCCATGTTCGAATTTGCAGCTCAAGCGTACTTACATGTTTTGAGCAATACAGTACGTCCACCGCAGTCCTTCTTCAGGATATTTCATGCCTAGATTTGGCCCCTCGCATTAGGCCTTGTAGGAACTTGTCCACAGCCTCGGCCAATGTTACTCATCCGGAGTAGTACAGCTACGTCCTTGTTTGCGCGCAATCATAATGCCTACCTTATACCACTACTAGGTACGACCATACAGAGCTAATGTTTCATTCCGCCCGCCTTGCTGTTGGCTCTAGCAATGCTCCTTCGCTCGGCACGTTAGGCGTATGATATGTGTATCATATGACAGCCAGAGAGACTTGGAAAACAATACGAGAACAAAACAGTATCATATTCCTCTATTCTGCCCTTGTACCGCGCAATAGGCGAGCTTGCTGGGAGATGGTGGCTGTGACATTCTTTGACGGTTCGTCGGCGATCTTTTACAGTACTCCAAACAATGCAGATTCAGTGAAGAGTGTTGCTGTATACAGTATCGCATACCCATGACTGCTGTTGGCGGATTTTTTATTCGTCGCCGTGGACAACGAATCCACCTTTTGCCCGAGTAAACTCTTACACGCGAGGACGATCAATACTACCCTATCTACCCAAAGAAGGGGTTGTTCCGTGCTTGTAGCTACCATGGCTACTCTGAGGCCGGTAAATGCAACGCTCAGTTAACGATATCACTGCAGTTCCATCACTTATACCGGGCTACTTTCCATTACTATTTTGCGTCTAAGTTACTTTATCCGGCAAAGTCAATTTACCAGGCTGTTTTAAACAAAGTGCTGCTGCCACTAGACCACCAAGGCAACGCGACTATACAGAAAGAAGGTAAACCGTACTACTACTTACCATGACGTGCCGGTAGGTACCTATTGCCTATCTTTCAGCCGCACGCGCGTGGAACTCGAAGCGGGTATATTGCGTACGACCCCAGGCCGCTTGCTTCCCATAGATTTTTCCCCCCTCGCCGTGACTGGATATTGACAGGGCAATGATTCGCGCAGCTTTCACACAAACGCGGCAGAGGTTCAGTTGTCGATCCTCTGTCCCTTTAGTCGACTTACAGCCAAGCTTAGAGGTACTGCAAACATCAACGGCATTTGCTGTACACTCCTTGCAATGCACCGGAGTCGGAGAGAACCGGTGACCGACCTCCCGTCGATTTTCCCCAGTTGGACGTTTTGGTCGAAATGCCACAGAGCTAAAAAAGAAAAGAAAAAGTCACACAATTCCCGTGGCACCAATTCTCAGCCCCCAACCGAAAGGCCTACTGCTATCTGAGCTGAACATGTCGGTTCTATAGGGAGCTCGCCATCGCGATATTTTTCCGTTATCATTTTCCAGAAAACACTCATGACAAGAATGAACAAAAGAATTACATTCGACATCTATTGGCATGACGCCGTGCTAACCACTATTGAAACAAGAGAATGACCGTTCAAACACTACAGTATGGCAAGAAAAATAGCGCAAGGCGGGTCATCAGCGAACACCAGCTAAGACATTAACTCCACAGCAAGCCCTGCGGATAATTTTGGTACTTCAGACCCCAGTCCGGGGCTACTGTTAGATCGCCACGCCATTGAAAAGCACGGACTTTGACCCCCCCGGCATGGAAGCGCTGGAATATTCTTTCTGCTAAAATGAGCACGTACCAGCATCAGGGATGCGTAAAATACACACTGAAAAAATGAAATAACAGTGTGTCCTGTATGCCTGTGTTTCCCTCCAAGCCATGGACTAACCGTTGGTGGGGGGGAAAGGCATTTGAAAAATCCAAGTAGTAAAGACAATGTGGCTGCCAGTTACAGCGAATGGGGCGTATTGATCTAGGTATTACTGGATATTCGGGCGGTACTAATACAGATACTTTCGCGTGTGACTGTGGACAACCAACCAATCTCAGCTAGATATGCTCTTACACGGGATTCCGTACGGAGCATGCGTCACTCGGCCACTTATCCCTCATTGCTTCTATTTAACCAAAAAGCGGGATCATCATCACTAGGTATTTTCGGAGTGCCAGGAACAAGTTCGCCGAATGTACCGGCTGCTGATACGCCCGCGACCGCCGTATCATGCCGCTCTCCGTCGGGACAGAGAGCATGGGCCAAGATCCACTGGCTCAATGTGTGTGCTACAAATGAAGGTGGTTGACAAATAACCAGTGTATCCAAGTACCACTGCTATTTGCAAAAACGGGCTACCAATCAATGTTGGATAACGAAGCAAAGGATGCGCTGGATGCGCTTGTGTGAGACACGAGCGACACAGGCATCTATGTCTTACACAAACGTAGAACCCTGAATGTGCGTTGACAACTACCTACTACTCAATATACCTTCTATACGCTTGCCTGTACCCCGGAACCCACTTTATCGTTCGGTTTGCCCGCCCAAGTCCGCGCCTTTAGCATGGGAGTCCCGGCTCCTAGTTGCCTGAAAAAGCACCATCTCCGGATCAGCCATGCAACGCTAATTACCGGTACGCGAGAACGAACCAGCTCGGCCGAGTCTTTAATCAACGTCGTCACAGCTAGCAAGCCCCTACAGAATTGCTAAACTCTTGCTGCGCGCTAAGACGATAGCGACGCTTCTCGCAAAGATATTCATACACATGGAGTTACGAAATACCTATGTCCTGCTCCGTTTATTCTCGAGGTGCGCTAAGCAACATTATGTCGAACGCTCGCTGTTGACCCGACCATGTTTTCTTTTCAGGATATCTTGCGGTGGACAGCCTTCACCCAGAAGCTATCCATTCATAGCTGTGGCGGTGCGATGCCGCGGGGGGATGATGTACGAGTACAAGTATCCCTCGCTGCTAATAAAGTAGCAGTACTAACCATGCTGTACAGCAGTATTCAGGGTCCAGGATGGATGCGAATCTGGATAGCTTGGTGGAAGTTAAGGCATGGCTGAGGGAGACCCGTTCTGAACCATGGCCCCATGGGTACGCAGTAAGACCGGCGAAAACCATGTCGCTCAGATCTGGCTACCACCCAAGTGCACCTTTTCTCGGACTGACTTTTAGTGTCGACCAGTCCAGGTAAGCGGAGCATATCAATCCATTCATTTCAGTGACATCTTACGGCGTATTTTCGTACTATGAATATACGAATACTAGTGTGAGTACTATCTGTTGCTAACGTATTCTACTTCAATAGCAGGATCGTGAGAGGCGAAAAACAAGTGGCTAGAAAACTAAGAGATGTGAAGCAAAAGATCGCCTTTGAGATTCAAACATGGTACGCACGATCATCTGTTTAGTACCCGCCCCCACGGCGTACTGTATGGATCAGACCGCAAAGTAGCAGCGTCTTCACCGCAGATCTACGAGTGTAACGTGCCTTCGGTTGTATTTTTTTTTTTTTTTTCGCCACTAATATGTATCCCCGAATGCTTCATTCAAGCACAAGTGTCCCATGAGACAGTACCCCTAAATGGCTTCGAATCAGACTCACTGGCGCCGGCTTCCGCAGGCTACTGTGGCAACACAAAAAAAAAAAAAAAAAAACCCCTTTTAGACGATCGAAAGGCTGGTATCCCAGTTCCGACGGACGAGCAAAGCCCTCTTAAACACAAACCCCGATCTGGTTAATTTACCAGGGATGGCATCGGATTTGGCCAGTCAAAGAAGTAGTTCATCATTTCAAGCGGTAGCTATTGTGGCGCGATTTTCTGAGGTGCTGCTCAGCCTATACGCAGAGCGAGATTCATCTGTGTCAGCGCACATTATTAGCTTCCTCAAAGTACGCACAGTACTGATGCTCATCTGCCGGCACCCCCATCCGCGCTTGGACTCCTAACATATATGCCGAGACAGTTTAAAGTATGACACACACTTTGATGATTGGCGAGGCGAATGATGGGAGAAATCTACCGGCATAACACTGAGTCATTAGCCACTTGGCTGTTGCGTATATTCAGGGGCCGACTGGTCATGTCCAACCACTGCCGACATCTTCCCCAGAGCAGCAGGTACAAGTAAGAATTTGGAGCATCATCGATTTGACGTGTCTAGCGATCTATCCTTCTACTGTTGAAAGATATCGCCCAGGATTTCTACGGCCATTGGTATACCTTGAGTTTTACAACAACCTATTTTCTGGGCCCTTCTCAATGGCAGTGCTGATGCTACATGTTGCAGGCTTCTTTCTCATTCTAGCTAAAACAAGATCTCTTACATACCGCGGGCTATACGCTGCTTATGCCTCTGTCTCCGCGGGATTCCGATGCATGCTCCAATGCCTGGCGAAATTGAAGTAAACGTATACAAGGTACCTTATACTACAAGTACTCTACGCAAGGTATATGTGTTATTGCATGTATGCACATATTAGCCAAACAGCATGCCTCCTTTTCCAAGGGTCCCCATCAATTGGCAGGAACGTAATAGCTTACGGTCATCAACTCGGATGCGTGCCTGTCCCTTGCCTTGTGGACGGTAACAAGAGCCTGTCCGAGCCGCCTTTACAGGGTGGATTGTATATAAGCCTAGTGGCAATGACCCAGGTACATCGTATTATATACGAGCAGCTCCTCAGCTCGGCCGGCTGCTGTAACTAATAGGGGAAACGTCACATCCTTACAACATGCTCGATGGCGACGTCAACGCAATCTTACACGGCTCGGATGCCGGCTGCGGGAACCGCGTGGCTAAATCGGCCACCAGGAGACAAGTCTCTTTGATGTTTTCCATATCTTGGAAGCAAGAGCATTTTTGCCTCGCGAACTACCGAGCGATACAGGGGTGTTGAGAAGTGGATAGAACAGGCACAAAGGGCTCAGAATTTTGCTCGCCATTGACCCAGCAGCAAACGAATCTTGGAGGCGGAGTCAGACTATGTATCCACAAAGTTCTAGCAGTCGGCAATGTGCTAACTCTTAGGTACCGAGGCAAACTCCAAATGGAATAGCTTGCGGTGTTCGATTTGATATACCTAATCTCTTACCAGAATCAAATTCCCCCAGGCCAGTTTGTTCTGGACAATGACTCGGACTTTTTGCTTTTTCAGCAATCCTTCTCAAGGCTAACAGCTTACCTATGTACGAGCTACAGAGAGTTGCCTAAATTAGTAGTATTCACTTCCTCCATACATAGTGCGGAGCAAAATGGAACCAAGCACTGCATCAGCCACTGCAATAAGACATGTACGAATGACATGTAGTGCCATTACTACTTGCGCGTACCTGAGACAAAGGAAACCTGAAGCCCGTACCATGCCATATCAAAGGAAAATAAGCTCTCCAAGGTCTCTCGTCCCGATCCCATCGAAAAGCAAGGCGCCCAAAACGCCAAGCGCGCTAGGCTGTCCTTTAAAGATACCCTTTGTCGCAGAAACATGACGTTTCCTAGTCCTGGAGCTTGCTCTGTGCGCGAACGATCCTGGCTAGACATCGTACCAGTCATACCTGAGATCCTAGTGAGTGGTAAGCATTAGCCTCCAGCCGTCGATCAAGCTTAGACAGCTGAAATGCCTCTAGCATCTACTTACGTATTGGCAGAGAACAATGACCAGGCTATCTACGGACTTATAGCCGCGGGATTTCGTGGCTTGTAGACGGGTTTCCCCTTTGGTCAACACTTGCATAGCTGCGCCTGAATATCCACCGTCAGAGATAGTGCTACTGTACTCCTACAATTCAGCCCATTACTGTCTCAAGTAAGTACCGAGCGAACCGCCCAGCTGGCGTCCCCATAACTCCGGAATTCGGGGAAATCACAAGCTATTCCTTTGAGCGGATCTGGTAATACTCAGACAACAACGGAGTACCTAGGTAGCTCCCTGAATCATGCGAGAATGTAGCGGAACACGCATCCGGCTGAGCTTCCAGCTGACGCAAGGGGAGATTCGGAGAGATAAGAGACAAGAGACACCCACATATTTGTGAGCGGCAGAACGAAGTGTAACAGAACAGTGTGTAATGGGAATACAGGCTGCGCTTGGCTTGGAACCGTACCAAAAGAGCTGCTACCCCAGTCCGGAACAGGCGTTTCTTTCGGCACTTTCTAGTTCAAGTGCCGTTCTATTACAAGTACGGGATGGTGGGAGTTATGCCTGGGTTAGCCGACAGATGATGTGCCGCAATGCTTTCTACAAAAAGCAAAGCCTCTCAGCCAGAGGCGCTCTCTACTCCGAATACAGGGGAACATTGCTGTTGCTGGCCTTCCTTCCAAACCGCCAAGCCGAGATCATACGTTTTAGAAGTACAGAAGCGCCTGGGCTTCTCTCGCAAGGGGTAATCGGTACTAGCCTTGCGCCTCTTTTCTCGTCCCAA